CGTTTCGTATGTTTTGGAGATAATCGCGTAAAGCTACAAAATGGATCTCGGCAATAATTTAAAACTAATACGATTAAAGGAAAGACAGTCTAGTCAGTAACACCTGTCGCCAACTTTTTGGCTACTCAGCTAGAATAGTCGGATTTGACCTTCACGCTTACAGGGCACCAAGGCCCAAAGTGTGAAGGGTAAAAAATATTCATTAAAAAATCAAATCAAATTTAATAGTGTTTATAGAAGTTTTATTTATTTTTATCAAATGATACAATACGAATTTATTATATATAAAAGCTGAAAAATAATGTGTGATCAATATGTCTAGATTTTTCAGGGGGGCCGGGCCCTCTTGTCTATCCTCTCTGTGTGTAAGTACAGAATTCAAACCACGTTTTACCAGTGAAAGGTACTGAGAAATTGAAGAATACAAGCTACTAACAAGCAGAAACACGTTTTTCTCAAAGCATGAGCACATATTCTGTCATGTGTATTGACTTGTGTATTTCTTAAGGCCAATGACACAAACTTACAAAACATATGTAAAAACCTACTGCCACATTAAATGGGCATAATTTTATTTAATCAAAAATAAAGTCTACAATCCAGATAAATGCGTCAAAATAAGAACATTCACACATAATGGCTTTACTGGATAACAAATGCTACATCCAGGGTTTCTTGGTATATAGGCACACAAGATTGTGTAAACTTTTTTTCTATATAAATATATAAAACCACAATTATTGTTATTGAAAGACATGTCATTTCAAACCTAATGAGGTAAGAAGGGAACTGCTAACAAAACTTACACAGCTGACTTAACTTGGGACAACACAACATTTATACATGTAACAAAAAGAACAGGAAACACTTTAAATGATTATCTAAACCTCAATGGATCATAAGATGAAGAGAGTTTAAAAATGATGTTTTGAATTATATTTTACTTCTTAGAAAACTACATGAAACCTTATGGTATAATCATACGGACTATTATTCTCGACGTTATTATGCGTATTATTATTATTTTCACAATGTTTCGACCAGTAAATTCTCCGGTTGTCATCAGGTGTTATATCAGGTTTTTTTGGGGTTTTTTTGTATGCATCGCAACCAGAAAGCTTTTTGTGAAATTAACAGGATTCGAACCCCTGAACTTGTGATCCTGAATACGGGCACTTGAACCACTTGAAAATAGAAAAAAGAAGGAAGAAAAGATCTGATATAAAACATGACAACAGACAGAGAATTCATTGGTCGAAACATTGTGAAAATAGTAATACACAGAATAAACACGAGAATAATAGTCCAAATAATTATACCATTAGTAAGACTAACACCTCGTCTCAATCATTTCGCAAAACTACATGAAAACTGTTTGGAGAAAACAACGAGAACACTTTTTACTACACTTAAGTATCAGTTATTTCTTTCAAGTTAAACTATTGAATTTAATAAATACACACACACAAAAAAAAAAGGGAGGTGAAGGAGTAGCAATAAATATATAAATTAAAATAAAATAAAGTTCTCATGAGTTAGGTGCTAAAATTAATGACTAAATATAAAGTTCAGTTAGAGAAAGTAAAAAACAGAATAAAACAAACCTTACGAAAATATAGACAACAGTCAATAATACAGGTCTAAATAAATAAAAACTTTTATCAGAGTGCATTATTCTAAAAGTGTATTATTCAGATGATATTGATGAGAGATGTTTTTCAACATGTTTATAAACACCTTCAAGGGAAGTACATATTATCTACGCTATACGTTATTATCCGTAACCTTCTATACATCTACTTCTTTTGTAGACATTTTCATAATGAAACTGTAACAGTTTTTCCAACTGCTTTTCTTACTTTATCATAAATTGAAAATTGTTTGCCTGTCCGAGAGAAAAACAATACAGATTCTGTGGACAAATGAGATGTTTGATCCCTACAATTATCTGCAAATATAACTAGTTTAGAGTGATACGGGCACTGAGACAATTTATGTATAACAGATACTATATTTTATGCATTGCATGAATAGAAAGCTGATAAAAGATCAGCCAAGAAAATAGAAAAATTATGGGCACGTATGCCAGCCAGACCTCTTAAATATCAGTTAGTGCTACAGAAAAAGAACTGATGTGATAGTAGGCCAATAATAAACGGATCAGACTAAAAATGTGTTGAAATGTCTAACATAAAATAAATTAAACATTATCACAGAGCTGTAATGAGGGGTGGATTCTAACCTTCGAAGGTTTGGAACACAGTACCAAACACCAGTTTGAACTTTTGATAATATTAATTTGATTAATTTACTGATGATGCCACCATAACCACTAGTTTATATTTGATTTTAAACTTCCATTTTACACTTAAACCACATAAATGAAATAAAACATTAATGATGTTTTATATCTTAAATAAAAAATGTACATTGCTTAGATATAAATATTTTATACTAAGTGTGATGTCCTTATAGCACAGTAAGCTTGCACTGCAAGAGTACCCTCTTGTGGCCAATTAAAAAAACTACAGCTAACTTAAGCAAAACAAATCTTTACTTAACACTCACCATTCCAAGCAGGCTAACAATCGTAGACCTTTTAACATAAAACTGTTGATTAATTAAACATACCTAACAAACATAATAATAATAAATAAACAGCCAAATGGAGCAAACTATAAATAACAGTTCGATTAGAAAATAAACATGGAGCTTCAACAATAAATGAATGTTATCAGTCACATTTTATTTTGTTAACAACACTGTCGATTAATTACACATATCTAATAAACAAGATAATAATAAATAAACAGCAAAACAAGGCTGAATAACATTAGCGGTTCAACGAGAAAATACTTGCATACTATCAACTATAAGAAAGTTACAAACAAGAGTGTGTGTGTGTGTGTGTGTTATTATCAGTCACATTTTTTGTTGATTAATTAAATATATGCCTCAAATTTCAGCCAAACGTATAAATAATAATGAAAATAATTATTTAAAAAACAGGAAAACTTTGGTAAAAAAGTAAATACGGACCTCAGACTATAACAAAAAGTTAAACGAGAGACAGTACAGCTGTGAAAAGCATTCGCTGTTTGAAATGACATTTCTCTTATGTCTTGTACACTATGCACTTAGTACTTTTTAATGAAGCAATGCAGCCACTAAATGTACCCCCTCCTGTGTTTCACAATAATGGCCTGCTCTAATGCACAGAAGGGCAGCTAGGTATAATGTCTGCATAAGTAACAGATATTATACAAATCCAAAGATCGAATTTTCCATGTGAGGGACATTTAACGTGTGATAACTGTTCAAATATTGTTAAACATTTTCTGGTAACAAAGGAGAAAAAAAATCTGACACTGCTTGAATGGCACCTGATGAACATTCAAATGTTTAGAACTATCTTCAAATTCCTAGCTAACAAACAAATCTTCCAACACTGCCCTACATCGTAATGTAACATAACCTTCAGTTGTCCTTACTGGCCAATGTGCAGTAGGTGTACATTATTGTTTTTTGGTATCTAAACCTGATTATGAAAAATATGATGAACTGATACAACCTTTTAGTTTTTTTAAAACCTTAGCAAAAACTTCTCACCTCCAAATTTTTTTTATGTTTGCAGCAATATTTGGATAATTGTTGGATACCTTTTAAATTCCATAAAATATGGATTTATTTCATCCGAACATTAAGACCACAGTGAACACAGAATCTTGCAACCAACTGATGAAGCTTAATGAGCTTACTTACTTCTATCAAAGCTGAGATTCTAATTAATGATTTTTTTCTACAAATATTCTCACTAAAAATCTCACAGGAATTCATCTTAAAGACTAACAAAAATCTGGGAAACTTCCCTAGTATCGTTTATTAATTAAATCAAGAAGCAACTAATCATTAATTTAAAACTTATTACAAGCGAAGAGTCAGATGTTTCATTTATCACATGATACATACTTTAAACATATGGAAATGATTAACTTACACACTAAGTAATTTCTTGTGGTAAATGTGTTTCATTTATCACATGATACATACTTTAAACATATGGAAATGATTAACTTACACACTAAGTAATTTCTTGTGGTAAATGTTTTTCATTTATCACATGATACATACTTTAAACATATGGAAATGATTAACTTACACACTAAGTAATTTCTTGTGGTAAATGTTTTTTTTGAACAAACATGCAAATCTCTAAAACATTTTTAGATAAGTAATTATCTCTAATTCTTCATCCCACATTTTTGTTCTAGAGAAAAAAAAAAGTTGGTCATATAAATTTAAAATCACATAGCCAAACTCACCATTTGTCACCTGAAACCCTGGATATTTTGCTTTAAAGCAATTTAGTACAAACTATTTTCAATCTGTACTACCTTTTTTCTAAAAAAATAATCTTTTATCAAAGAAGTTGTTTACTACAGAGTAAATGTAACTAGTCTTCTGATTGGTTAACACGAGGTAAAAACATAACTTCTATTTTACTCCAACTACCAAGTCTGTTTACTCATACAAGTACCCAAAACTACAACTCAGAATACAAGTACCACAATTTCTATTCTGAGGTTGCTGACTGTAAATATATATTAAGAAATCTAACCAGTCTTTAAAGGTATCTCATCTTTTACTACAAAGAGAGGATTAAACAGCACCAACAAGCTTCATTAAACCTTCTGTTGTCATGGACTTGGGTCGTTCAATTGGAAGGCCAAGGGCACGGTCCCAGACCATTGAGGCAGTAGTTCCCAAGGCCCGAGACACGCCAAACAAAACAGTGTAGAACTGCATTTCCGTCATTCCAAAATACTAAAAAAAGAAAAGAAATTATGTAAGGTAATAAAGCAAGCAATATATATTGGACTTGGAAGTGTGGTATATTAAAGTAAACTCCTTGTCAAAAATTGGACTTGGAAGTGTGGTATATTAAAGTAAATTTCTTGTCAAAAATTGGACTTGGAAGTGTGGTATATTAAAGTAAATTTCTTGTCAAAAATTGGGCTTGGAAGTGTGGTATAATAAAGTAAACTCCTTGTCAAAAATTGGACTTGGAAGTGTGGTAAATAAAGTAAACTCCTTGTCAAAAATTGGACTTGGAAGTGTGGTATATTAATTTCCTTGTCAAAAATTGGACTTGGAAGTGTGGTATATTAATTTCCTTGTCAAAAATTGGACTTGGAAGTGTGGTATATTAAACTCCTTATCAAAAATTGGACTTGGAAGTGTGGTATATTAAAGTAAACTCCTTGTCAAAAATTGGACTTGGAAGTGTGGTATATTAAAGTAAACTTCTTGTCAAAAATTGGACTTGGAAGTGTGGTATATTAAAGTAAATTTCTTGTCAAAAATTGGACTTGGAAGTGTGGTATATTAAAGTAAACTCCTTGTCAAAAATTGGACTTGGAAGTGTGGTATATTAAAGTAAACTCCTTACCAAAATGTGGTTCTAGTCACAAAGGTCAAGTAGTAATTATTATTCTTAGCAGTGAGAAACAAGTTGAGGCTATAGAGAAGTTATCATTCACAGCCAATAAAAAACGTCAGTGCAAACAGTGTGCCTGCACAGAGTATAAATCTTTAGGGGTGCAAGTTTGTAACATTGAAGGGATTAAATTTGTTTAAAGAGGTATGCAGAATTTATCTCGCACACACAGCACCATCAACAATCCCGATGGTAAAATATAGTTACAGTCTTAGATGTTAAGATAATAGAGCTTAGTATTAGCTATAATTCTAAAAGTATCACATTAGAAAGTGTGGCTAGCTGTGTATTAAAAATAATAACAAGTGTAAGAACTTTCAAGCATTGTATTATCTACATTATGTACTTAGCTTATCTGTGTCTCGGCTCCTTTCGGGTGGTTCTCTAGCTGCCTAGAATGCAAGTCCAAATCAAATGATGCATGCCTTATGTCATAAAGGTTTATAAATACAAAAAGTATGAAATTTGCCACCATGTTATTTTACTAAGCTTGCTTTAAATAATATATTTTAGACTCTTCCCTTCTATAAAAAACAGTAGTTTGTGTGAGAGGGAGGGTGAGAGCCTTTCAGTGTTCTTTGAGTCTATTTAAGGAAATAGTAATTGGTTAAACTTAGTATATTCCACTCATACAGTTAACTTTTTATTGGGTGTTTAGGCCCACTTCTTTTGTATTCCTGCCTCCATCCAGAATTTTACATTTTCCCTAAGATTTTTTATATTACCGCTACTGTGTTTGAAATGAATAACTTTAGAGTGCTTGTTTTGTGAAAAAAACTTCATTCAAAATACATTAACACACATTCAACTGTCTTTTAATCGTGTATTGGGTTTATATACTTGTGGTTTTGAAGCATGCTTATGTCACATGTTTTGATACAAAATATGGACTTGTTACATTCATATTTTACATTTCTGTTTTGTTTTTCAAACGTTTAAATAGTCTGGAAACATTTCACAATCAAGTGCTGTGATATAAAACAAGAGGGAATCCTCAAGAGCTGTGAAACTTCAAATTCTTTTAGGCAGGATTAGATTAAATTAATCTACGAGACCTTGGGCGTGGTCGAATACATCAATTGAAAAGGGTTAACTTCCTCAGTCCAAAACTATAACTAGACTTCAAATAAGTCAAGAGATGATAGAGCTATGACCTGAAAGTTTGTACTTGAAGAAGATAAGAAAAAACAACAACTCAGAGCCGTTCAATGAGCCACTATACTGAGACTAAAAAGTATAGAAAATAAAAAACATACTTGTAACAGAACTCCACTATGAGCATCAACATTCGGCCACGGGTTCTTCACTTTTCCCAGTTCAAGCAGGATCTGAGGGACAATTTTGTACAGCTGAGAAACGAGCTTGAACAATGGGTCTTCAGGAAGGTGTTTCAGTGCAAAGTCTCGTTGAACAATGTAACGTGGGTCAGTCCTCCTCAGAACAGCATGTCCATAACCTGGCACAACCTGGGTAGAACACGTGACACAAATTAAATACACCACCAGAGTTGTTCTGAGCCAAAACGTAGATTCTCATAAAACCTATTTTTGATTAGGAGTTCAAAGCTAAACAATACAGAATCAAAATAGTGAGTATTAAAACAATATATCTATCACATTTCTAAATTGTGATGTAAATTGACCTCCACTGTTTTAACTGTGATGTACATTGACCTCCACTGTTTTAACTGTGATGTAAATTGACCTCCACTGTTTTAACTGTGATGTAAATTGACCTCCACTGTTTTAACTGTGATGTAAATTGACCTCCACTGTTTTAATTATGAATCTATTTACCCATGGTAACTTCTTGACCTCTAAAACAAAAATTACTACATAAATTATGATGGATTACCTTAGGCCTAACTGATTCCCATTATACGAACACTTTCCTATTTCATGGTATTGTTAACTTGGAAATCACTACTTGCATGTGTTATTGTATTCTGTAACAACAAAGTGTTATTTTAAATTATTTTGAAGGCAGTGACAGATGGGAGGGGGTGAAACATTCAGCATTACCTTTAATATTATGTAATTGTGTGCATTTCATTTAGCCAAATATGCATAGGGTCGGTCCATCGGACCAACTGTATACTGTTATAATTTGAAACTGACTGCGTGTATCTACACAAAATGTGGCAAGCTTTTAGTAAAACGTACAAGTCTGTTGTACACAAGAAATTGGGTTATATTACAAAAGTATTTGTATTCAAAATATGTCTGAATTGACAATGCCAGTTAGATTAATATTCTGACAAGTTGGAATGCAAGAAAATGTTTATGTAAAAAAGAAAACATTTTTATCAATATTACATTAACATAGCCTCTAGAACCTCTGAAATGCATACCTACAGTTTTTTTCAGTATCCCTGTGCAATGTATCTAGTATTTAGTCTCCTCTACCATGAACTGTCACTAAATCAACATGTAGGGTATAAAATTAACAGATGATAATTCTTACATCAAATACATAATTCCATACTGAATGGCACTCTGTAAAAGGTAGGGGTCCGCACACTTTGTTTACCCCCCCCCCCCCACACACACACTTATAAATATAGGGTTAAATGTTATAGTTTTCATATTCTGTTGCAAAATATTTAAAACAAATTTCTAAAGATTTAATTATTTTCTGTGTAATTACCTTCTATATGATCAAGTCTACTGAGGTTACAGACATACCTGGCCAGATTTTAATGTTTTCCAAACAAACTCTTTAACTAGTTCTTCACTTGCATCTGGTCCCAAATCTTTTTGCAGTTTCGTGAGCCAAACCAATACTTCCTGAAAATGTTTAAATAATTCTCACTCTAATTGTGTATTTTATCTACTCGGTTATTCAAAAAGTCACACTTCATATGGGAGTAAATGAAACGTGAACATCACAAGTGTTCTGCGTATTCCCAGGGACTTCTAAGAACAGGTGGACAATGCATAGAACGTTTGTGACGATTAAAGTTCACTATTTAATGAAACATGAACATCACAAGTGTTCTGCGTATTCCCAGGGACTTCTAAGAACAGGTGGACAATGCATAGAACGTTTGTGGTGATAAAGTTCACTATTTAATGAAACATGAACATCACAAGTGTTCTGCGTATTCCCAGGGACTTCTAGGAACAGGTAGACAATGCGTAGAACGTTTGTGATGATAAAGTTCACTATTTTCCATGGAATTCCAGAGGAGCGACTTGAATAACCTTGTATTATAATTAACTGTTCTACATCATTATGAAAAAATTATTTTGATCTTTACGTGATTCTTTCATGTAACAGAACCTACTTTTTGTTGCGTATATTTGATTAGAGTTTATTAAATCAATAAAAAAATAAACACATTCAGCTGAATAAACAGGATAAAACAACCATTATAAGATTTTAACTTTAGAGTACTCCTGATACATAAAGAAGTGCATATAATGAAAATTATATCTGTATCATTTAACTGGAATGTTTTTTTCTTTAACTCTGATGAACATCATGTAAAACACAAATGACTTTACAAACTGTACAGAATTGTTTTTTTCTTTCAAAACAAGTTAATTCTAAACAAACCTGATTTGCTAGTCCATGGAGAGGCCCGGCAAGGCCATTCATACCACCTGCAAATGCTAAGTAGGGGTCAGAAAGGGCACTTCCAATCAGATGAACAGTGTGAGCACTGACATTACCTCCTTCGTGATCACTGTACGAGATATAAAAACATTGTATTAGCACAAAGCCACACAACTGACTATCTTCGCTCTAACCATCACGGGGAGATAAAAATAAAACTTAACACAGAAAAACCACAAATATAAAAGTGGAAAAATAAATCCAGTATGTATTTTATACTAAAACTATGAACTATTTTAATGTATTTAGTAGGTGAACAAACATCAAAACTATGTAACTGGAGATTAGACATATTTATAAGGTACATCTCCATTATTAGTTGTTTTTCTTTCGAGTATGTACGTTTTATCTGGATGTTCACTTTAGGGAAGTAAACTGTTAATACTCAATGAGAATCAAATATAAAATTTTCAATAAAAATAATAATAATTGTTTTCATATCTTCATACGTTTCATTTAAAAACAAACAAAAAAGAGTTTACTTTACATATACAAATAAATAAAAAGAAGGTTCTTAACATCATGAAAATCTAGGGGGGGAAAAGTCTGGCTAACATTTTAAAGGTTCTTTAAGCAATGGTAACTTAAAAATTGTAAGACAAATGGAATTTTGGAAATAATTTTTAGTTTTATATTACGTGTACATACATTTACATAAAAATGAAAAAAACGACAGTATTAAAAGGTTAAAAATTTCAAGTTTCTTGTGTAAATGTGATTAAAGTGATCAATGTTTTTTCAGTACACAATTAAAGACTTTATAATCTAAGACTGATCAATGGCCTTAAAACAGACACTGCATGTTTCGACTTTGAATCACGTCGTGTCTGTTTTAAGGTTGTTGATCGGTCTTAAAATAAAAAGTTTTTGATTGTGTATTGAAAAACGTTGATCATCTGAGTACTTTAATTTACAGCATATTAATACTAATAACATTAATAGGCATAAGCTTATTTTAACAGAAAATTAACGGAGATTTCAAAAGGTTTATATAACTAAAAACATACTTGTTTATGAACGTAAAAGAAATTCTATGTAAACAAATTCAATGGGCTACAGGTATCTTGTTTGTTTTGAATTTTGCGCAAAGCTACACGAGGGCTATCTGCGCTAGCCGTCCATAATTTAGCAGTGTAAGACTAGAGGGAAGGCAGCTAGTCATCACCACCCACCGCCAACTCTTGGGCTACTCTTTTACCAACGAATAGTGGGATTGATCGTCACATTATAACGCCCCCACGGCTGAAAGGGCGGGCATGTTTGGTATGACGGGGATTCGAACCCGCGACCCTCAGAGTGCGAGTCGAGCGCCCTAACCACCTGGCCATGCCGGGCCCTACAGGTATCTATGTTTCGTCCTCCTCTGCTGTGCTTAGAATATAACCTATTGTTTATAACATCTTTAAGAATGTATATCTCTTCATACTTATATTATTTCAATAAGCAAGTCTTCAAAAAGACGTTGCACAAATCTTTAAGGTATACAAATTGCAATTCAAAGAAATCAACAATTAGTTAGTATGAAACAAAAAACAAGATTGTAAAAATGAGACAATTACCTATGGATAGTAAGGTACAATCTCATTAATTCTGTCAACGTTGGATTATCGTAGCCAAGCATCGATGTAAAATTTGCCGACCAGTCTTTCTCCTTATCTATGGCACCAATACTGCTTCCGTCTCTATACAAGTTACGATAGATTGTGGCAGCAATCGGTGGTAACTTTGCAATTAAATTCATAGAATCTTCAAACATGTACTACGGGATATACAGAAAACCAAACTGTTGAAACATTACGAGACTCGTACATACAGAACGAACAATGTACTGATTACAATCAGAACTAAATAATTGTTAATTCTCAAATAAAATAGGCCAAATAAACTCATCTATTTTAAAAATACGGGCCAATAAAAAAGTCGTGCATCACCATGTTATTTTTAAGTACGGTTTTACTGTAATTTTTCTTAATCATGTTTGTGTTTTACTAACTCTCTTTTTTGTAGTTACAATAATTGTCATTAACCTTGCAAGAACATGTGAAAGTGATCCTGTTATGACATTGTGTTGTAATGTCAATGATAAACATTTCATGCAGCTGTATGAACATGACTTCGAAAATTATGACTGTGCATGACTTTTGCATCAGAATATACTATAATTAAACCAAAATCATAATTTCAATAACTTAAAAATATCTACAACAATTCAATGGACTGACATCACCAAAACTTTTCAGCTTTTAAGTTACAACAAATAAGTAAATGTTAGCATTTTCCTTGATTTAATGAGGTCCAAACATTGTCTGATTCATTCCTTTACTTATTGCAAAAACATACCTCCCAGTAACTTGCTTTGGAAACACCTTTAGAGTAGGCCTCGGCAAACTTGCTTTCCGTGTTACATGCTGTAATAGCTGCACTGAACTGGGACATTGGATGAAGATGTAATGGAAAGTTGTTCAGCATTGTTACAACATGTGAGGGTAAGTCAGCTCTCTCCGCCCATGCTTTGGACACTGATTTCACCTAAGTTTATAATAATAATAAAAGATGAATCAAGGTCCCAGAACACTGGACTTAATTTCTGCTGATTTGAGATCCAACACCTTTTTTTGTTGTTTTTTTAAATCCAAAGCATAAATACTATAATCAATTTTAAGACTCCCTTGGTTGCATTGCAAACCGGTATTTCAATAACATAATGAACTACATTACTCCAAACTAACCCCATCAAAAATAATATATACAACCCCCCCTCCTCCCACAAAATTAACCACTGCAAGTACTCCTTAATATTAATAATACAACGAAACAAAGATATATGAAGAATCTATCTTTTGTAATATTCCATTAGTATATATTTCTCCAACTAAAGATATTAATACAACAGGCACTTGACAAATGAGAAAGAATAATATGGGTAAGATGCAGAATGGTGAAGACAAAATCTTTATGTCTGAGCAAACATTACAAAACTTACAGATATGCATTTTATTTCTCACATCATATATACAAAAAGTACACTTTACTACAGAAAAATAAAAACACAATTTTCTTTTGTTTGCTCTTCTAATAATTACCATATTAACTTGAGTTTGCTTCCAGTTTCTATTAGATAACGGGAGATCCGGTTCCGACACACCCGAATACAACGGGAGATCCGGTTCCGACACACCCGAATACAACGGGAGATCCGGTTCCGACACACCCGAATACAACGGGAGATCAGGTTCTGATACACCCGAATATAACGGGAGATCAGGTTCTGATACACCCGAATATAACGGGAGATCAGGTTAGGGACAAGGTAACAGGCTAGAAACAAGGTCTTCTAAGCAAATTACCAGAAACAGACTTAGTAACACTATCATTTACCAGAACCTGGAAGAAATATAAAACCAATTATGCCTTAAATCAAGACAGACATTAAAGAATTTGTTCAGAAAAGTTTAAACAACAAGAATTTTACACCAACAAGTTTACTTACCTCTAAACTCAAACAAGACAACAGGTACAAAACTGAAAAGTAACTGGAAATTAACCAGAAATGTAAGCTTAAACCACAGAATTCATTCGTCAGAAGTAAAAATCAATAAACCAAGTATCAATTAAAACCATGTCTAGAGAAAAAGCTGCATCTGGAATCATATTCTACAAAATCTTGAAATAAAAAAAAAACACAAGACATTCCATTGACCAACTCATTGTCAACACAGTTGGAGCTTTACCACATAGTCATTCAACATGGTGCTAGAAATATTTTGATATGAAAGACAAATTTTAAAAATCACCTAATTATGAGTTTAACCAATTCAGGGGTTTGTATTTTTTTGAAGGAGTTTATCTTCATTTTGAACTCTTAATATTCTTGGCTCAAAATTAGCAGTGGGTAAGAGCACAAACCAGTGGGTTTTAGTATTTAACCAATGACCATCAAGGGATTGTGGGAATTTTTCTTCCAGTTGATAATCAAAGCAGGATTGTGAATATTCAGAGTAGTTGTAAAAAAAAAAAAAAAAATGGCCAAAATTACATTCAAAAAATTTGATGACGCGGAACCCACTTTGAGACTACTAATGCTAGGAGATGGCTTGAATGGGTAATGAAGAAAAACTTTAATACAGGTTCAACATAACAGCAAATGTACATCGTTTCGACAATGATGATGACAAAACCTTGTCGAAAAGGTGTACATTTGCTGTTATGTTAAACTTGTATTAAAGTTTTTCTTCATTACCCATTCAAGCCGTCTCCTGGCATTACATTCAAAAAAGTTGGCTGCAAGTGAAACAACCATTGGGAAAATAAAAACACACACTAAGATAATCGATTGATAAACCTGTTCTGTTATCTTGCTGGTCTTGAATGTCACGCATCTTTCACCGAGATTCCTCAAGTTTAAAGTAAAAACAACATGTTTAAGTGGCCTATTAGATCTGGTCTTGAACATTACACATCTTTCACCGAGATTCCTCAAGTTTAAAGTAAAAACAACATGTTTAAGTGGCCTATTAGATCTGGTCTTGAACATTACACAT